TTTTTTTCTTTTGGCTGGTTAGGGTGTTTGTGGAGAATCCAGAACCCAGGAGCTGCTGTGTTTAAAATGTTCTTGTTTTGAACAGGTATGTGTGTTGTTTCAGATTTTATTTGGATATTAAATTAATGTATTTAGTATATTTCTATGATATGGTGGAAAATTACAATTGTAAAGCAGATTATTTCTGTTTAGGTTTTATTTTAATTGCTTTGTATGACTGTAAATTTATTTTATTGTTGAATCTCAGAGAATTTCAGTTTTGTTTAATGCATTTCCTAGTCAGTTCGCGCCTAGCTGCGCTGGGGAGAGGGTGTTTGTGGAGAATCCAGAACCCAGGAGCTGCTGTGTTTAAAATGTTCTTGTTTTGAACAGGAATAAAGTTATCCTGAATCCTGATTTCGAGGTGGATCTGACTTCCTTTTTCCAACCGTTACATCTGGTGCCGTGACCCGGATGCTTAGATCAGCCGCTGCCGATCACCGAGGTTCTGCCGTGTGCTTGGAACGTCGAATGTTCAAGTTAGTGGACTAGTGGGTTCTGTCAGGTTCCATGTTGGTTGCTATTCTGCAACTGTACATAATTGTTTCTGAGTAGAAAGAAAAAGAAGTATCTACTGTCTCCTGTATATTTACTTTTTGTTAAGGGACGTTTTTATAGTAAGATTGTTTTCTGTGTTTTGTTTTATATACTATGGCAGAGGGAAATAAACAAACATATTTATTTTCATCCCCTGCTGGAAGAGGGAGGGGTTTACTTAGCCTAGAGAAAACCTTTGTTAATGACACTCCAGGAGCTACCTCTAAAATGCAGTTTGCATCGGATGATGGTAGAGACAGACATGAACCATTGTATTCGACACCCATTGATTCCAGTGAGCACACCACTACACATCAGTTACGTGAACTTATTGGAGAATTAGGAAGTCAAATTGGCGAATCCTTAGCGAGCCGGCTCCTAGCCTGCCAGCCAGCTCTTAGCTCACAGGCTCCTCCCAATAAATCATCTAGAGCTGAATCATTCTCAGCAACTGCTGACACTTCCAAAATAAGTCTGATAGTCAGACCTGATATTAAGGATCCACCCATGTTTCGTGGTGATGGCACAGACAAGTACTCCATTCATGAGTGGATAGACACAATCGAAGTGTACTTACAGAAACGAGACCTCCCACCTTGTGAACAAGCAGAGGAAGTTTTAAATCATCTCTGTGGCAAAGCTAAAAGTATTGTCAAAGTGGGCCTGAAGAGTAGCTCAACCGGCAACACCCCAGTAGCACCAGAGACGATATATAATATTCTGAGGCGCTACTTCAGTGATACTCCTGGCTCGTGTCTACCTTTGGCCGATTTCTACGCCACCCAGCCGAAAGCTAAGGAACCGCCTGTTGACTATTGGATCAGATTAAACACTGCTGCAGAAGTGGCAGACAGGCATCTAGAGTCCCAGGGGGGTAAAATGGACAACATGGACTCAGAAATTGCCATGATGTTTGTCAGAAACTGCCCAGACCCCAACCTTGCTAGTGTCTTTAAATGCAAGCCCACAAGTAAATGGTCCCTAGCTGATGTGCAGGAAGCTATTGATGAGCATCAGAGGGAGTACCAAGCTAAAAAACCAACCGCAACCCTGCCCAATACACATGCTCTTCGTGTCGCTGCTGCTGCAATTGCCAGTGAACCCCTAGAAAATAACGCAGAGTACACCAATGTAAACACAGCCAAGCTCTCTGACCCTGTTAAACCAAGTACAGCTGTTGTTTCAGAGTCAAATGCGTTGGAGAGAGTACTTAGCATGCTAGAAAGAGTACTAGAGCGTACAAGCCAGCCTAGTCCTTCTGTTGTCCGACCAGAGACTGTTCCATTCAACCATGGTTCCCCCTGCAGGGTCTGCAAACAGACCTCACATTCCACACGTACACATTGTATGAGGGAGAAAAGATGTCTGGAATGTTTAGAGATTGGGCATCAAAGAAAGGACTGTCCCAAGGGATCTTCAAATCGACCAGGCAATACTTCACCACATCAGGGAAACTAAAACACTCACATGAGGGAGGGGATAGTGTGAGTGGGAGTGACAAAACCCTCAAACTTGAAGATGATGTACAGACCGTATATTCTGAGTGTGTAAAATCCTTCCCGTCTAACACCACTGTTCTATTCCAGAATATAAATAGGCTTGACAAAGTTGACAGTCTGTTCTATACAGATGCTGTGGTGGAGGATGAAGTGTCATTGAAAGCCCTGCTTGACACTGGTTCAATGACATGTACTATCAGTGAGGGAGCTGAACAGATGTTAATTTGTTCAGATTCAGTCTCCATGTCAAGAGATGTTTGCTCTGACATTACGCTTGTTGGCTGTGGTGGGATGAAAGTTAAGCCAAAATGCATTTATGACCTAAAGATGAAAGTGTATGGCTGCACCTTCAGGGTCCCTGCACTGGTTGTTCCTGGGCAGCAAGATGAAATTATTCTAGGAACAAATGTTATCAAATACCTCCTTAAGCAGTTTAAACAATCTAAACAGTTCTGGCAGGTTCTGAGTAAGCCTGATTCAGAAGAAGCACCTGAAGTAATGCAATTCCTCAGCATGCTGTCCGGCATTAACAGATGGAATGGAGAAACTATCCCTGATATTATTGGGACAGCCAAGTTAATGCAGGCTGTTACTCTTCTGCCCAGGCAGGAACATTTAGTCTGGAGCAAGTTGCCGGCAGCCTCATCCTGTTCTGAAGGCAGTGCAGTCTTGATAGAACCAGCCAAAGCAATGACCCATAAGAATGACATAATGGTTTGTAGATCCATTGCCACTATGAACGGTGAGAGATTGGTTCCACTCAGAGTCCTAAATACTTCAAGTCAGCCAGTAACCCTGAGACGCAATACAAAGGTGGCACAGGTGTCGGTTTGCATTGCTGTGGAGGATCTGGATGAAACCTCTGAGCTGACTGAAGCTAACTCAATTGAGGTAAAAAACCAGGCAATGCACAGTGAACTGACTGATGACGCAAAAGACTTTCACTCATCGGACTATCAAGAGTCCTTAGTCAAACTTGGACTTGAGAGTTTGGACATTAAATCCTGTGAGGTGTCAGACTATTGGAAGGGCCAGCTGTTACAACTTGTCCGAAAGTATGAGGCTGTATTCTCAAAAACCAAGCTTGACTGCGGATCAGCAAAGGATGTTGTTCACAGGATCCATCTTTCTGACTCCCGACCCTTCAGGCTCCCATACCGCCGTGTGCCCCCGGGGCATTACCATAAACTCAGACAGGTGCTCTCAGAGATGGAAGAACTCGAGATAATCCGCAAGTCGAAGAGTGAATGGGCATCACCGCTGGTCCTTGTGTGGAAAAAGAATGGGGACCTTAGGATCTGTGTAGATTATCGATGGTTAAATGCTCGCACAATAAAGGACGCCCATCCTTTGCCACATCAAGCAGACTGTCTCGCAGCCTTGGGTGGCAACACTATTCAGTGCTATGGATCTCACCCACGGCTTCTACAATATTGCTGTGGCAGAAGAGGACAGGAAGTTGACGGCTTTCACAACACCCATGGGGCTTTATGAGTTCAACCGTCTTCCCCAGGGATTGTGCAATAGCCCAGCCAGCTTTATGCGATTAATGATGAGTATATTTGGAGATCAAAATTTCCTGACTCTTCTTTGCTACTTGGATGATGTGCTAGTCTATGCATCCAATGAGGCTGAGGCCCTGAGAAGGTTGGAAATGGTCTTCAGCAGACTGAGAGACCATGGGCTAAAGTTAGCCCCTAAAAAATGTCAGTTTCTTAGAAGGAGCGTAAAGTTCCTCGGACACATTGTGGACAGTAATGGTGTCTCGACCGATCCAGACAAGGTTAGGGCTATAACATCAATGACGGTTGCGGACCTTATGATGGAGGACGGGGTGACACCCTCTCAAAGGAAAGTCAAATCATTCTTGGGCATGGTAATGTACTATCAGCAGTTCATTCAGGATTGTTCCAAGCTAGCCAAACCCCTGTTTGCTCTTACAGCTGCCCCGAGAGGGAGGAAAGGCAACCCACGTGGTGTCGCTTCATTCAAAAAACTGCATGCAAGTGACTGGAAGCAGGAACAGGAAAACTCATTCGAGCTGCTGAAGTCTGCACTTTCGAAATCTGTTGTCCTTGCACATCCTGATTTTAACAAACCGTTCATCCTCTCAACTGATGCCTCCACTGATGGACTCGGGGCTGTATTATCCCAGGTTCAAGAAGGGGAGAGCAAAGCCCGACCAGTCGCTTTTGCTAGTAAAGCACTGACCCGTGGTCAGAGCAAATACCCTGCCCATCGATTAGAGTTTCTTGCACTCAAATGGTCGGTTTGCGATAAGTTCAGTCATTGGCTCAAAGGACACACATTCACCGTTTGGACGGATAACAACCCTTTAACGTATATCCTCACTAAACCTAAACTGGACGCATGTGAGCAAAGATGGGTGGCGAAGTTGTCCCCTTACAGCTTCAGCATCAAATACATACCTGGAAGTAAAAATGTGGTTGCTGATGCTTTGAGCAGACAACCATTCATCAAGAACAAAGTCTCCCAAAGGCTGGTGACTGAGTCCTATGAAGCTTTATTGGAGGAATCACAACAAGTAAGGCGAGATGCAGTCCAGGAGGTCTTTCGGGTCAGTACCGACCATCAAGGGGATGAATACCTCCAGTCTCTTCAACGCCCAGAACATCAGTCGCTGAGTGAAGAAGAGGTATCTGCAGTTCTGCTGGGACATGCAAAGTGGGACCTCAGTCACGAGCAGAGGGTGTTGACTTGGCTGGCTCAAGACGTAGAGGGGCTAGTGCCGACTGGTTCGGTGCCTCTACCTATGCTCTCCCTTCAGGCCCTCCAGGAGGCACAACAAAATGACCCCGTATTATCGCAGGTCATCCCGTCCGTCATGCGAGGCAGGCGGCCATCCAGGAGAGAAAAATCTGGCTTGCTACCCAGAGCTTTGAAGCTCTTGAAACAGTCGGAGAAACTAAAGATGCTGGACAACATTCTATATAGAGTGTGTAAAGATCTAAGTACTGGCAAGAAAAGATACCAGTTTGTAACTCCCTCGTCTCTGATAGACCAAGCACTTCATGGCGTTCACAATGAGGCTGGACATCAAGGCCAACACCGGACATTGCACCTGGCCAGGCAACGATTCTTTTGGCTCGGTATGGAGCACAGTGTTCGTGAATATGTCAAATGCTGCAAACGTTGTGTTGTGAGCAAAACTCCTGAACCCGAGGGTCGAGCCCCCCTAGAGAGCATAAAAACTACAAGCCCTCTGGAGTTAGTGTGCCTCGACTTCTGGTCTGCAGAAGATGCAAGGGGTCGAACTGTTGATGTGTTGGTGGTAACCGACCATTTTACTAAGATGGCCCATGCTTTTCAGTGCCCAGACCAAACCGCCAAACAAGTGGCTCGCAAGCTATGGGACAGATACTTTTGTATTTATGGTTTCCCTCAAAGAATCCATTCGGATCAGGGGGCCAATTTCGAGAGTCAGTTGATCCAAGAATTGCTGCAAGTGGCAGGGGTAAAGAAGTCGAGGACCACCCCGTATCATCCGATGGGCAACGGCCAGACCGAGAGGTTTAACAGAACCCTTGGTAATATGATCAGAGCCTTGCCACCCCGCGACAAGTGCATGTGGCCACAGATGTTGCAGACATTGACTTTTGCTTACAATTGTACTGTCCATGAGTCAACTGGTTATGCGCCTTTCTATTTGATGTTTGGTCGGATTCCTCGCCTCCCAGTCGATGTCATGTTTCACAATGTGGAAAGGGATAATGAAGTCACGGATTACCACAGCTACACAAAAAGAGTCAGAGAGGACCTTAAAGAGGCTTTAGCTGCTGCTCAGGCTAATGCCTACTCCAGCCAGCAACATCAGGCCCAGTTGTACAACCTAAAAACAAGGGGCACGGACATAGTTGACGGGGATCAAGTACTCTTGGCTAATAAAGGGGAACGTGGCCGTAGGAAGCTTGCAGACAAGTGGTCCTCTAACATCTACATTGTTGTGTCTCATGATCCCAGATGCCATACTTACCGCATCAAAGACGCAGCAACTGGACAAGAGAAAGTAGTCCATCGCAACTTACTTCTGGCAGCAAACTTCCTGCCACTGGAGTTGGACAAAGAGCAAGAGTCAGTGTTTTCCTCTGACATCACCCCAGATCCAAGTACTGTTAACGGTGGTGACCAGGATGTCTCACTTGTGTATTCAGAGAGTAATGGATTGGACCGCACTGCTGATTGGGTGGCAAATACCACCTCAAACCCTGAAGACCTCCAGGATGCTGAAAGTTGTGTCAGGAATCTTCAATCAGGAGCAAGCGATGCTGAGAGTCTTGGAGAGATCGGAAGCGACTCGGCTAAATGTCCAGACTCGCCGCATAACCAGCCAGGAACTGACGAAGAAGCAGTTGTTATAAGTCCTGGTAGGCCAACAACTCCAACAACTGGTGCTGTAAGCCTTGTCAGATCCAGGGCTGGCAGGATAATCAAACCAGTTAACAGACTGATACAACACATGGCACAAAGGAACACACAGACACGTAATGCAGTCCATGGATTTACAAGGAGTTTATTTTTGTAGGAGTAGACAACTTTTGTTTGTGAATAGAGTATGGTAGTATTACACCTCTGTAAATAAGTCAACGCCCATTAGCTAAACTGTATGGGAGAGTAACAGCCACTAACTGTGAGATTGTGTTTACGGCACAATCTTTTAGCAAGCAGGCATTGTTGAGTCTGGCCAACTTTCCAATGTTGCTTTTCCTTTCCTAGAGGAAGACCTTGAATGTCGCTCAAGTGTGTGTGGTCGTTGTCTGTCAGATGGCAAGAATGTTATTCTGTGTCCAGTCTTGATTAATGTTGGGACGGTTTTGAGAAGTTCAGGGGGGAGTATGTAGCAGAGTTAATCTTATTAATTTATTTTATTTTTCTTGATGAACCTTCTCAAAACTAATTTTATTTGAATTGACATGTCTGTCATATTATTTATAAAATAATATGTTCATTTAATAAAATAATATATAGTTTTATATATTATTTCTGTTTTATCTTGCTTTCATTTTTGTCCCTAGTTTGTAAAAAAGTCATCCTCATCTATGAATATTTGTTTTCCTTTGTTTTTAATTGTATTTTATTTTGGTGGGGAAGCTTTTATTTTCTTACTTCCTGATTTTGCGTTATATGCTGTGTGTTCCCGCTGCCCTCCTCAGTTCGCGCCTAGCTGCGCTGGGGAGAGGTAAGTGTACAGAGTTGTCTTTCATTTCAGTATTAAAACATTGAAAACGTTCTAAAAATATGTTATAAACTCACATATATATATATTTATGTTTAGCGCAGCACTATGCTGGGCATTTGTCTCCCACATTGGTGATACCCATCAAGTTTTCTGTATCAACACGTTTATTTTTTTTTTCTTTTGGCTGGTTAGGGTGTTTGTGGAGAATCCAGAACCCAGGAGCTGCTGTGTTTAAAATGTTCTTGTTTTGAACAGGTATGTGTGTTGTTTCAGATTTTATTTGGATATTAAATTAATGTATTTAGTATATTTCTATGATATGGTGGAAAATTACAATTGTAAAGCAGATTATTTCTGTTTAGGTTTTATTTTAATTGCTTTGTATGACTGTAAATTTATTTTATTGTTGAATCTCAGAGAATTTCAGTTTTGTTTAATGCATTTCCTAGTCAGTTCGCGCCTAGCTGCGCTGGGGAGAGGGTGTTTGTGGAGAATCCAGAACCCAGGAGCTGCTGTGTTTAAAATGTTCTTGTTTTGAACAGGAATAAAGTTATCCTGAATCCTGATTTCGAGGTGGATCTGACTTCCTTTTTCCAACCGTTACACTAGTTTATACATAACGTTACTAGCTTCGTGAGGTTTATGGCTAACAAGCGCGACTATATTTTGTACTGGTTTCAGATTTATGCAGCTCATTGCAAAACGCGATTCAAACCCAATCTGTGCAAAATAAGGAATTTAGTAAAGTAAATACACAGTCTTGAGATACTTCACATGTGAAGCAAGTTTGCCAAATAGCAAGCGATGCAGTTATCACCTACCACAACAACAATGTTTAGGCAGCAAGCTAGCTAACTTGCTAAACATCCCGCTAGCTACTTAGCTACCTAGCTACTTAGCTATCTATCCATCCCTCCCTCACAGATTATAGTTAAAAATGTCTCCGGACCTTCACTAACATTCTGCTCTCTCTGCTTTTTCTCATAGTAACTTCAACTGGTCAGTTCCTGTTCGGCTGTGACTCCATCCTGGAGATAAATATCAGCTGTGCTGCTGCTATCAAAACCTTTGTTTATAGATGTCGGAGTTTGGCCTGTTTTTCAGTGTAGTCTTGTTTCTCTGTTTCTGACTGGCTGGATGTCCTCTCTTCATCCTCTAACATGGGAGCTGGCTCGGAGCTTGTCTGCCTGGCTGTGTGTTTCCTGGATGGGGCGCCATTTACAGTTGCTGTTTGTTTCTCTGCTTCTGTTTCCTTGAACCCCAGTCAGCCTCAAAAGATGGCCGCTCACACTGACCCTGGTTCTGCTGGAGGTTTCTTCTTGTTAAAAGGGAGTTTTTCCTCTCCACTCTCGCTGAAAAAGGACGGTGGCTGATTAACTGCCTGTCTACCCCATGACTCTTGCATGAAGGCACAAATAAACACTATTGTAAACATTGCATACTTACATGTTACCCTTTTATTTCCTACGTTTATACCCATAATTTTTAATCTGAACAAGTTAATTGCTTTCTAACTCCTTGTTCGAAAGATTTGTTTAAACTTTTTAAAAACCTCACATTTTCTACTTGAGCTCCAACTTATCTCAGATAATCCTCTCTCTTCTAAATGTTTCTTTGCGAACTTTGACAAACAGTCTACTCAGCTCTGGCAAAGTGTTTAAGCTTCTTAAACTACACTAATAGCAGAAGAAAAGCTTTAAAATGTGCTGATTAAACGATAAACTATGCTAGGCCTTTCTGCTGTACTTGATTCTCCCTTATTCTATACAAAGAATTAAAAAGCTTGTTTCTCTGTTTTATAATTTCTCAGTTTTTAAACTGATTATTCTTTTTCTGTCCACTGAAGTAGGCATGGTAATCCATCCTTTGTCTTCAACAACAAAAAAAAACTTCACTGATTTGTATCTGTTGTCCTGAGGCCCACAAAATTATTGAATTTTTTATGCTTTATTGGTGCATAAAAATGTTTATCTGTTTTATTTATAGTGAAAAAAGGAAGACCCTTTACACAGGGCTGTTTACCTTTTGAATGCCTCATCATTATACCCACTTTGCACAGCTCTGGTAAAGCAATGTGTCGGATCAGCATAATGGAGTTATTGCAGATGTGAATCTTTACTCGATCGGGCTCTAATAACTGGAGTCCGTAGAGTACGGTAAACTTTTGGCTTGATAAGGAAATCAGAGATACTTTGCACCTTCTGATATGGCTTTATAGCCATAAAAATAATACATTAGACCTAATCAATTATTGTGCTGCAGTGTTTAATAAATGCATTTTTGCTACTAAAGGTCACAAAATGAACAAAAAATTATCCCAAAGGATGGTTACATTAGCATCTTGTCATAATACTAAGGCACAAGGCATAATGCATCATTGCTTTCATTTTGTTCTTACCAAAAAACAACCATAGCTTCTGAATGATTCCGCTGAAATTGAGATTCATCAGACCAGGAAATGCTTTTTAAATATATTACTGTTCTACTTAAAGCAGTTTTCTGTCCCTGGTAACCTCAGTGGCCCATGGTGTGTCCCTCTGCTGCAGCTTCCTGCCTTTAGATTGACATGTTTTGAGTTAAGAGATTATTTTTCTGTTACATTTTGTTGGAGTGGGACCCAAATGCATACAGGCAGGCAGAAGCAGCTCTGTGAATTGAAAAGAGTTTGTTTAACAAATAAAAAAATAAAAAAAATAGATAAATGAATGAATAAATGAGAAAAAAATTACTGCTTGGCCTGATGGAGTGGCCACAAACAGTCATGGATAAGGGTTTGCTTGGCATGAACAGCATACATACTAATCCTGCAATGAATCATGAAAGAATCTATTGCAGGATGGGGGACGGGTGGCTGGCATTCGTTTGATTAACAAGGAAACAGGAGGACTAAAGACACTATCTGCATGTTTTTATAGAGTAGGAACTAAGGCATTCACAGAACTTAACTATTCAATTCAGTTTGTTTCATTTTAATTCAGTTTATTTACAAACAGCTAGTTCACAACACAGGTCATATGACTACAGAAAAAAAATCAATCAAACCAGTTGCACTTCAGTGGTGCAAATGTTTAACCTGACTCCGCCAGATGGATTTGCTCCGCATATCCATCTGGAAACCTTCCATTGAAGTAATTTTGGGAAGGGGCGAAAATACTGGTTAGCTGATGGCCTATGTTGTTGATAGACGGGCCAAATAAACCAATCAGATCAATGAAGCATATGACGTACTAACAGAGCGACGACGAAGAGGAGCCAATTGATAGATCAAACTCTTGCCGAAACCAGTTGGGAGGAGAACAAAAACATCTTTTCCTCTGAGAAAAGCCTCCAGAGCAGTGTTTTGCTCTTCTTTCAGTGAAGAAATACTCTGTAATTCCCATAAAACTTGCTCGATAGCCACGCTAACGCTAGTTTCATCGGCTGAAGCCGCCATGTTCTTTAGACCTAACTGTCGCACTTCTCGTTGCGTCACACCTCAACCCGCCTCAAAGCCAGCGCTGATTGGACGTTCGAACGTCCAATCAGCGTTGGCTTTGAGGCGGCTCCAAATTTTCTTTAACGGAGAGTAGCCAGACTGATCTGCGAGTGAAACCTTGAAAGCTCGCGAGCTCAGGATGGTCTCACGAGGCTAGCAAATGTTAGCGCACATGACCCATGTGTGGAGGCCTTGGTCCTTGATGTGGTGGACCTGGGTTCAAATCCCACCTGTGGTTATTTGCTGCATGTCTCTCACACCAACATTTTTTCATCCTCACTGTACCACTTAGACCTGAAAGGACTTGATAAACAACAAGAATGATGAAAAATGATTAAAAAAATCATGATGTCAAATATCAACCACAACCTACAATCTCAACATCAGGAAAATTTTGCATACCTTGGTTGTAAAAATCTAATCTCTAGATCTGTTCTATTTTTTAATGATTATTTGGAAACCTGAGGATTCTGAATTATGTGTACATAAACCATAAAGTCAATTAGAGGTCTCTTCCTGCACAAATTATCTATTTTACTATACAAAAACTCAATTTACAATTGGCATAGCTAAATAAAATGGCTCACATTCAAATATATATTAATTATTTAAACATTTAAATTGGATTACCTTAACAAGTTTAGCTTGCTTGGCTAAATCTTTACATATTTACCTTTTTTTTAAAGGGAACTAACTGACATCTTCCCCACAATTAGGCTTTGTTTGTCACACAGTAGATTATTTTTGTATCCAAACACCCATCAAACAACTGAGACATGAGAAAAACAGACCTGCTTGTTATGTTTTTACTTCATTTTTCTGGGTTCCCCTTAATTGTTTGATTCTTAAGTCATTTTGCCTTTATTTATGGGAGATGACATGCTGCCCATTCCACACAGAGTATAAGAATATAAATAAATATAATTCCCTTTCTTTTAATAGATCAAGTCAGGAAACACTGTCGGAGCTCAGTTAATAACTTGCTGAGTTTACTCAGATGCATTCTCTTTTTGTTTGTACAATCCAGTCTTGGTTGAGCATTTTCTGCCCCTCAGGTTGTCTGATGCTGCTGCCAATGTTGTTGCATCTGTGTATCAGTCTTGGTCTGGCAAGCTTGCCTGTTAGATCTCTCTTTTAGTCAGTGCTGTTTGTCCAGTTATGCAGCATGTTGTTTCACGTCTCTAGCCTTAGTTAGATAAAGAAATAGTGATGAGTTTTCCATTTGCCCACAATTCACAAAAAATTATTTGCACAACATGGTGTGTAACAGTGGAGAGTAATCTAATCCTAAACACTCCCCTTATTTAATCCTTGTTTTCTACGCTTTGATATATTTTCAAATTAAGAAATAAATTAGATATTCGTTTTTTTAGATGTTTAGCAGATCTTGGTGTGGAAATAACAGAAAGTTAATGCAGGTACTCATATAAAACCATAAGAATTTACCACACTGGTTGTCTTTGGGTCCCAGATTTCCTGTTTCAAAAAAGCTTAGATATAAATGAACCACTTAATGTACTTATAGGAGGATGTATTAATTATGGTTATGGACTGAAATCAGTTCCTTGTTGCTTAGTATATAGTTGTTCTTATCGTATTACTTTAACATTCTGTCTCACGTTAATAAAAGGATAAAAGATATATAGTCGCACAATTTACCTTTAATAGAAAGACCAAAATTCAGCTGATTAACTTAAAAAAAGATTATATACTCCAAGCTAGTGTTTTGATAGCCCTTTATTCAGCCCAAATAGAACACAAGCCCTGTGTGTCATGAGCTACATACATGTAAACGTATCTACTTGCAGTACCACTGAACTACCACTAAGCCAAATGGTGGCCATTGCTGCAGCTACTAAATAAGGACGGACAGGGCTAATTGAGCTCTAATGCCTAGCAGAAAACTGGCAGCTCATTGTGGTGGAAGTTTACGTTCCAGTGAGTCCTCCTTTGCCTGTTCTACAGGAGTCGCAGTAACATTACAGAAGCCTGGTGTGCAGCAAAGTATAGTCCATCATCACAGCCATCAGTTGGGAATGTTTCCTTTTTAAATGATTAACATGGCTGATATGAAGTGAATTGTCAATATAT